CTCACCTGAGAATCCATTTGCCTGCACCCTCTTTGGAGACTCCCCAGGCTCTTTTCTCTAGAAAAGAGAAATAAATGTCTTTTCTTTATGAGTTATCCAGACCAGTATCTCTGATGAACAAATACAAAATTCTTCAATAAAATCTTGTCAAATTGCATTCAAAAACACATTAAGAAGATTCTAATTCATGATCACAGTCTCCTTTCTGAAACACTCCTGACCTTGGACTGTTCTCTTTTTTTAGCACTGAAAAATTAATGTCCTCATACACTTTCTTAAGTATTGTTCCTCATGCATCTTTATCAATTACATTGTGCTTTATAAATAATAAAGAAAAAAGATCATGGTTCATTATATGTAACTGTGCTTTTTCTGTTGCTTTTTTTCATAGGTGTGTCCGAAATTTCTTTTTGCCTTAGGTCTCTTTTTCAGACTGTTGTGCGTTGCTAGAACAAAACAGCAGAAACTGGATAACTTATAAAGAAAAGACATTTATTTATCTTTTCTAAAGCCTGGGAAGTCTCAGAAGAGGATGCAGGCAATTGATTAGCCTTCTTGCTGTATTATTCCCATGGCAAAAAGTGAGGGCAAGAGAAGCCAACAAAGGGCTGGATTTACCTTTATACGAAAGCCATTCTCAAAATTAAAAGCCCACTCCCACAAAAAGGATATTGGGAGACAGAACTCATGACTGAATTACCTCTCAACGATGCCACTTATCAACTCTCTTACAATGAGGATTACAATTCCAACACGTGAAATTTGGAGGGCACATTCAAACCATAGCAGTCACTTAAAGTGTGTAGCCAGTCCTGCAATGAGGTCACAATTTCCGAGCCTTACTGTCTTGACAACTCTAGTGAGCAGACCTGCAAGTGCACTCAGCAGAGGGGTCTCATGTATAATGCCACATAATGCCACAGGTTGGTTCTAACAGTTAATGGGCCCTGAATTGTTAGAACCTGTCTTCCCTGAGGGATTCAAGGCAGGGAATTTCCTCCAAGGACAGCATGACCCCATGAACAAGGGCCACCCAGGGCAGGCCCCATTCAGCAGTGTGGAAGACTCCCTGTCCGTGTGAATGACTTAGTGGGACCCTATCTCAAAATTTTAAAAAATAAATAAATAAATAAGCAGAGTTGAGGAAGTGGTTTGACGGTTAAACACCCTGAGTTCAATCGCTGGTTTCTTTCGTTTGTTTTAATCTTGAATCAGTCTATTCATAGCCCCTCTAGAACAAACCTGGGGATGTTTACCCAATGTCAGGACAGATCCAGGAAAAACAGCAACCCTATATTTCTTAGATAACAGGAAAGCAGTCCTAGACCCCATTCCTCCTACTCTCATTGAGAAAAAACAGTTTATGTGAGCTACTGCCCAGGCAGGAGTGAAGAAGCTGAATTCAAAAGACCCAAAGAGATCCCTGCCCAACTTGAGTGAGGCTGAATGTGGCCTCCACTTTGCTGATAACCCTCCTCTACTTCTTCACCAAAGAAGGAGCCTCCATACCCCTCCAGAAGTATGACTGCCTCCCGGACCCCCAAACCCCTCAAAAAGATTTGAGAGGAAGCAAGTACCAAAATCTGACACAGGATTTGCAATCTTCCCCAGAGATTCCATGCCCCCAACTGTCCCTGCTGGTCCCAATTTCCCCCTAGTGGTCAAGATGCACAGGTGCAACCTGAGCCTCTACAAAGCTCCACATCTTTCACCTGCTCCCAGATCCCAACTTACTAACAGGTACCTAGCCAAAAAGAAGCCCTAGCCAGGTGCGACCACGCATGCCTGCAATCCCAGCAACTCAGGAGGAGACTGAGGTAGGATGGAAACTTGAAAGCCAGCCTCAACAACTTAGAGAGCCCTTATCTCTAAATTATTTATATGTATGTATATATGTATATGTGTGCATGTGTATTTTTTGGGGAGGGGGGTAGGGATGTAGCTCAATGGTTGAATAGTTGAGTACCCCTGGGTTCAATTCCAGGTACAGAAAAAAAATAAAACCAACAACCTTGGAAAACCAAATCGGAGGGGGAAAACAAATCTAAGGGACGACTGAGGAAAGCACTCTAGAGCAAGGAAAAATGAACTGAATCTGTCTGGGTTGCTTCAGTTTAACATTACATAAATGAGTCCAGACAAATGGGGTCATGAGACCCACCCAGAGCTGTGGTATTGGTCCAGGAAAAAAAAATGTGGGGTGGAGCTAAGCAGCTCAATCAAGGAACTGAAGGTTCTCCTGTACCCCAAATGCCATGGAATAAAAGGAGTCCCCTCCCCCTCCAATCTCTGCAAACTCAGGCCCTGGGATGTGTCCAGGTCTGGACTTTGCTCTCCCCATCCCAGGGTCCCTAATCTGACCCCATACACCCTCCCCCTTCTACTTTCTCCTCCTCCTCGAATCCATGCCTCCACCCTACTGCCTTCACCCTTCTGCCTCAATCTCACTTCCTGTTTTCCTCCTATTTCCCCCTTCACCCCACAGTCCCCACCCTTGCCTCCTCCTACTTCTACCCGCTTCACTCCTGCCTCGTGTATTTCCAATCCATGCCTATCCCAGCCAAGGTAGGCGGAGCCTTGGGTGCCACTCATCCTCACTTCACCCAGCTTCCATCCCTCTCCCCTATCTTGTTCCAGCCCTAGAGAACTTTCTGGATTCCCTGTTTGACCCCGCCCTGATCTCGTGAGATTTCCCCGAGAAGAAAAGAGAAGCCAGGATTGGTCAATCTGCCGGTCTCGGAGCTCTAGGGAACTTGCTGAGTCAGCGTCTGCTTCTTTCCACCAGCTGCGCGAGGAGAGAGGCCACGTGGCGAGGCCCGCGGCATAGAAGAAAGGGTGAGTTCAAACTCTGTTTCCTCCCCTTCCTCGTAGGGCAACCTTGGCCGCCTCCCCAGCTACCACCCCTTCCCCAAGGGCCCTGTTTTCCATTCGAAAGTGGGTTATCACAGTTTAGAATTGAGATGAAGAGCATAATAACTTCATATAACTTGAATTAGCCAAAGTACCTGCTTCGGAGAAGTAGCCATAGGGAAGCGATTTAGACAACGTAATTCATCTTATGGAGGCGTGTGGGTTTACGGTTTGATCTCATTTGCTGCCTGGGGTAGCTCCTCTTAAGGATTGGCCCCTCTGGAGGATCCAGGAGGTACTAGGAGGTGGGGGCAGCTCAGCCAGAGGCATCAGAATTCCAGGAAGAAGCTAGCAGCTCAGGAGGGTGAGAGGAGGGCCGAAAATTGGCTGCAGGTCAATGTACTTGAGGGGAAGGAGCAATTGTGACTAACACAGGGTCTGCCACTCAAATTGCCCTCCAGTTCAGCTGAAAGAAACTGGTGTTAAGGTTTGGGATGACAAGTAGACTCCCTCCCAAAAGACAGGATCGAAGCCAGGTGTAGTTGTGCTGACCAGTAGTCCCAGCAACTCCGGAGGCTGAGGAGGAAGGCAAGTTGGAGGCTACCCTGAGCAATTTAGTGAGATCATGGTTCAAGATAAAAAGGAAAAAGGATTGGGAATGTAGGTCAATGGTAGGGAGTTGCTGAATTCAATCCCCAGTACCTCAAAAATATATTAATAAAATATAGAAGAGCAGGATTGAGGCTCCAGTGCTGTTTTCTCCACAGTAATGGCAGGGGCTGTTGCTTCCTAACTAGTTATGTTAAAACATGATCTCATTGCTTTTGGAGCATTTTGGTTATTGCTCACAGACTTGTTTGGAAACTTGTGACTGATACAGTAGGACATCTGGAAAAGGAAGTATTGGAGGACCTGAGGCCAGTCAGAGTTGTGTCAGTGTGCAGAAGACGTTTCAGGTAAGTTAGTCCCTGTACCATGTAGGTTGCCTGGAGTGGCCCTTCACCACCTTTACCTTGTCACCAAGGAGCTAGAGAGAGTCTTTATCCTGAAGCCTCTCCCAGCAGAATCAGGAGCAACCTTTTTGTTTGTTTGTTTGTTTGTTTCAAATAATTTTCCTCCACAGAGCATTTCATTTGTTCTACTTTTTTTTTTTTTAAATGACAATTCTTTTTTTTTATTTTAATATTTATTTTTTAGTTTTTTCGGCAGACACAACATCTTTGTTTGTATGTGGTGCTGAGGATCGAACCCGGCCGCAAGCATGCCAGGCGAGCGCGCTACCACTTGAGCCACATCCCCAGCCCCATGTTCTACTTTTTATAAGAAGCAGTCCTAGCTTGTTGGGGATCCTATTCTCATAACTATGGTTATGCTCAGAATTTCTGCTCAGAATAATCAAACACCAAAGACTATGTCTGTGCAGGGTGTCTAAATAGAAAGGGTACATGAGCTCAGGGATGTTTGATTTCAGTTCTTGTGGGTGTGGATCACTCCTAGAAAGTAAGAAACAGGACTGCATATCCTTGTCCTCCAGTGCCACCTGGGGAGGCCAGGGAGTCCTGTGGTCTCACTTATATCTGGAAAATTGAGCTAGGACCCAAAGCTCAAGGGTGACATCTGGGGAGTGAGCAGCAGTGTGCCAATTGTAGGTGCTAGGTTACATGATTAAAACCCCTAATGTCATTGCCTCCAGAGTGGGAGACTTTGACATTTTGTCCAAAGTTTCAGACTCTGAAAGTGCTTATGTTAGGCACAACAAACCCACAACCCTGAGAGAAGAGGAGCATGTGGAGAGGGTAAATTCCATTCATCACCCCAGAGGAACTTTGGGCAGATTGAGACCAGTCAGCCCTGGGCTGCCAGAAAGTTCCCTTCTTAATGTCTCACCTGTAGTAAGGAGGAGAATGAGCCAAGCAGAGCATAGGTCTCAGGCAGTGGTCATGATGCTCTAGGGATCTGTCTCCTGAGGCTGCTAGGCTGGATTCTTCACACCCTTCTTAATCCCTGACTCAGATGACAGGAGCCATCTTGCACATGCTGCACCCCTGATTGTGATGAAGGATATCACCTAAATGGAGGCTGCTACTCTCATCCATGATTTTGTCCATGGCTGTGTGCACGTATAGCAGAGTGTCCCCTTTATAACTCACCTTCTTCAGACACAATGCCCATCAGGCTTACACCTGGAACCCAGTTGGGTCACCCTCTGGGCTACTCAGATGTACATTACATACCTTTGGGAGCATTGTTTCCTGCACATGGAAAGCAAAAATTGATCTAAGGCCTCTGCTGAGGTTACATGTCTTCAGAGAGATACTTATGAGACTAGAAAAATTAAGTTCTACCAAACATAAGGAATTATTTTTACTCCATCATGTTCAGAACCATAGCCACTCAGATCCAGGCTAATACTCCCCAACTTCCCATAGAAGCAGAATGAAGAAAATTGACAGGAAGTATGTGTCCTGAAGAAAATGACTGTGGGGAATCTCATGTTGAAAACACAATCATTGTAATGGTTATGGAACAGTCATAATTTAGCTTCAAATTTTATTAGGGAAAAGGTATTGGTCATGACATTGGCAGTATGAAGGATAATATGCTAGAAGCTGGTCCAAACTTAATAGGGCATAAAAAAGATGATTTCTCTGTATTAAAAGTTCTGCACCAAGAAAATAAGCATTATTTATACTAATCTTGATAAGGTCTTTACAAAGAAACAAAACTTTAATTCTCAATATTTATTTATTCTCAATATTCTCATTATTTCAAATCATTGTACTTAACAAATTTGAAGTTTATATATATTGTTTTTCTATACATTTATAACTAATAGTAGCAATTCTTAATGTTTTGAAAAAATTATAATGACTATAGAAAAATCATAATTTTGCCTGAGCAAAGTGAAGATGACTGCGCAGTTTCAGTTTGTGTGGTCATTTTTATGGCCTTGCTCTGGGAGTTCCTCCCTCTCTCAGAATAACACTTAGTGTCATCTTCTAAGGACTCAATAAACCTTTTTTTAATTTTTATTTATTCTTTTATTGGTTATTTTTAATTATACATGATAGTTTATTTTGACATAATTATAAAAGTGTGGAACATAATTTGTTCTAATTCAGTTTTCATTACTTCCTCTTCCCCTCCCTTCTTTCACCCCTTATCCTTTCCTCTACTCTAAAAGATCAGTAAGTCTCCTTGAGTAAGTCAAAGAAAGGGGATCCATTGTGCCAGAGACTTTGCAGGGAACATGTGCACAGGGCCAGCCTGCCCCGGGGCTTCATTCCAGCCCTCACCATGGAATGTGGAGAATTTTTTCCAATTAAATGAGAGGCCATTGCCCTGGTATCCCAAGTACCATTGCTTCCCGCTTTTTTGAGGGGTGGGGTGTGCTGGGGATTGAACCCAGGGCCTTGTGCATGTGAGGCAAGCACTCTACCTACTGAGCTACATCCCCAGCCCATTTGCTCTCCTTGTTCGAGAGAAAATGCTACACAGCCTAGGGTACTCTGGTTTTACTCCCATCGCCATGGGGCTGAAATTTGGTAAATTTGGATGACCCATACTAGAATCCTCTCTTAAGCTTTACAGAGATGTACATTCTTCACAGTCCAGTTAGCTATGATGAGTCAGGAGGATGAAGTACAAACATCCCAAAGAGCATACTACTCTGGGCTGAATGTCAAGCCTGGGGACCCCCTGCCCTTTCTGCATATCTTCTCTCTCATCTTTGCATCCAGGATCTCTCTCTCTCTCCCCAGACTCTCTAGTTCTAGTGTCCTGACTTGGGCCCTTGGGATAAGGGTAGGCAGAGAATAACCATTAACGCTGTTACTTCAACCAGGCTAGGCCCAACAAAGCCAGACCTTAACACACTTCACCCAGGCCTATGTTGTTGCTGATTTGTCTTAAGATAAAGCTTCCAACCTTTAAGGATCCCTGCTCTTTGAGAGCCAGACCTGGCCTCCTCGTCTCCTGTAGTTTCTCCTTCCCCATCGTTCACTGACCTGTACCAACTCCTCTGCAGTCTGTGTCCCTATTCCTGTTCCAGTTCCATGAGTCATTCAGACACACCACACACAAACATTACCACCACCACACTATGCCTCTGGAAGCACATCCCTTGAAATTAACTAAATGGACCCAGGATGACCTTGCCAGCAAGCAGGTCCCTATTGACAAAAAAGAAAGGGACAATCTCTGTTTAGATGTAGATAGTATTCAGTCAGAAGTGAAACCAGATGCTATTAAGAACTGGAGGCCACCAGAAGGGCCAATGGAAACGTTTGAATTATTTGTTTTCTGAGGCAAATGTCTTATTGTATAACCTGTACCATTGTTGAAATTGCCTGGTTTGTTGTTTTGAGACCTTTGTTTTGGGTTTTTCCCCCTCAGTATTGTGGATTAAACCCAATAGTGCTTTATCATAGAGCTGCATTCCCTAATCATTTTTTATTTTGAAATGATCTTGCTGTATTACCCAAGCCAGCCTTGAATTTGTTATCCTCCTGCCTTGGCCTCCTGAGTTGCTGGGATTAAAACCATATATCACAGCATCTGGCTCCTAAATGCTTATAACAAGCAGCCCTAGTTAGAAAACCATGGATTTTGATGGTTTTCTCTTGAGCAGTGAAGAGAACATCTGGCCCTAAACAGAAAGTCTGGTAGTTTCTGAAAACGCCAATGATATGTGCATTTGGACCATGTGTATTTCTCTCCCTGACTCCAAGATCCAAAGAACATACAGTTGTCACTTCTCAGTGGCTTTCAGACTTAAAAAAAAGTTGCAGTCCCAGGTTTAGTCTTTAAGTATGTTATCCTCTATTCCCTCCCCAGACCACATTTCTAGATTCAGTTTTCTCAAGACAGTTTTCTGAGTCCTGAAACTCCTCTGGGAAGAAACACCTTTTTACCTCTAGGGAGTAAGGAAGATTGGTTCTACCTTCTGCCTCAGTGATTATCTTGAATAATTTTTTGAGACAGGGTCTTGCTATGTTGCCCAGGCTTATGTTGAACCCTGGATTCAGTGGATCCTCCTGCCTTAGCCTCCCAAATAGTTGGGATGTAGGCCACTGCACCAAGTTTATCCTTCTTTTAATCTGTCAGTTTCATCCAGGCAGAAGTCTCGAAGTTTTCATGGGTAATCAACTCCTTCCCATCTCCATCCTTCCCAGGCCCCTACCCTTACTCCTATTTGTAATTTTGATTTAACTTTCTTTGGGGTATCCTTGACCTTCAAAGTCTGGAAGACTAACCACAACTCTGTTGTACCTTTGTACAAACCTGAGTTTTGTACAAACTTGATTTGCATTGTTAGGGGTTATAAATTATAAATTACAGTGTGATACTTGGGAATTCTTAATTTGAAGCTTTTTTTTTTTCCTCCTCTTGAGCTGACATCGTTCTTCATAAAGCTTTTTAACTTGAAATTTTTATGTGGCCACAAATTCTCCCAACGATTATAGTTTCAATTGGTTTTGCTTTTCCTTTCCCTTTTGTGAATGGACATGTGATTCAGTGAGTTGATTCCACAGAAGGTGAAACACCTTATTAGGATACACAGAATGGAGAACCAATATTATAATCAGATTTCATGCATATACTTGTAAGCTTAGAGCTGAAAAGGGGAAGGTGTACCCAGAATGGCCTATGATAGCTTCTGAGGACTGAGTTAATTCTTTGGTCCTCCCTGACTTGGGATACAAGGCTTCCTGCACTGCACCTGGGCCTGATGGGTCAGGAATGTCATCCAGGGTCTTCATAGTCTGGCAGGCTAACTGCATAGAGAGTTTTCCTTTCCTTATGAAAAGATCAGGATTAGGCTTTGCTCTTTCCTCTTAATGCATTTTGCCTTAACTTGGAACATTTTGTTTTCTGCTTTGGATATACCATTTTACATATGCTTAAAATAATTAAACAGATTTTTTGTTTTGGAAATGAAAGACATGACTGGTCAGAATTTTACTTGGTAACATTTAAATAGAGTGTGACCAGTTGTTCTAGTTTTGTCTTTTATAAGTTTTGTGGTTTATTTAGATTTTTTTCTTCATAATTTTTTAAAAGCTTAGAAATATTTCATAGGTGAGGTGCAGAAACATATGCCTATAATCCCAGTTGTCTGGAGGATGAGGCAGGAGGATGGAAAGTTTGAGATCAGCCTCAACAACTGAGACTTTTTCTCAAAAAAATAAGGGATAGAGGAAGTAACCCAGTGATAGAGGGCCCCTGGATTTAATCCATAGTACCCCTATGGGTAAGGCGATTCAAAGGATGTTTTTAAGAGTGAAAGGTTTTTCTTTTTTTTTCCCCTGTTCTTTCTCCCTTTTCATTTTGGGATTGAAAGTTTATTCAAGAGACCTAGGGTATAATATACTAACTACAGTTAGGGAAAATATATACTGGAAAATTGCTAGGGGAGTAGATATTAAAGGTTTTTACCATAATTAGTAAGAGTATGATATAATGCCTGTGAGTTAGCTTGACTTAGGCATTCTATAGTTAATGCATATTTCAAAATAAATGTAAATGGTTTTTGGTACTGGGGATTGAATCCACTCTACCTCTGAGCTATATCCCCATTCTTTTTTAGTTTTCGAGACAGGATTTTGCTAAGTTGCTGAGACTGGCCTCAAATTTGCCACCATCCTGCCTTAGCCTCCAGAGTCTGGGAATACAGGCATGCACCACCACACCTAGCTAGCTATACACCATAAATACATATTTTGTCAGTTAAAGTGTTTTGAATAAAACTGAGGCATTGCTCTGTGAATGATTCATTCCTCTATAGTTCATGTTAGAGTGAAAATCCTAATATCACTGTGTAGTAGAGACACATGTTAAGATGTACCCCTTGAATTTTTTTTAATTATTTCTTCCAAATGTTACGTATTACTATTAAAGTGCTTTTATAGTTTCTTAATTAAAGGTTTTATAAAGGAAAATACAATGGCACCCATTGTGCATGTTTTCCTAATCTGTCCCACCTGGCTTATTGTTGGAGCAGAGAAGGAGTTTATTCTGGGCTATGTGGTATTCCCATTCCCATTGTCTTTGGAAAATACAGGTGAGCATTACTAATCCAAAAATCTGAAATTCAGAATGCTCCAACATCTGAAGCTTTTGAGTGCCAGTGTGATACCATGTGTGGAAAAATCTACATTGTATAACTTTGTTCCATGCACAAAATTATTACAAATGTTACATAAATTTACCTTCAGGCTATAAGGGGCATATAAAACATAATGAATTTTGTGTTAAACATTCGTCCCTTCCCCAAAATATCTTATGTGCAGATATTCCAACGTCTGAAATAATCAGACATCCCAAACACTTCTGGTCCCAAGCATTTCAATAAGGAAATCTCAATTTATAATTTTCAAATTTTATCCCATAAGAGGGCAGAGTCAATTTTCAGGCTCCATAATACTTACTTCCCAGGTGGGCTAGAATTAAATGGAGCTGTGAATGGGTGGATATGAGATGGGGTCAGTGGTCATCATGCCATCTCCTCAGCATTTGACCAAATTCTTGTTCTGGTGCTGGCAGAGACACAAATGTAACTCTATGGCCACTAAGTGCAGAATGGAATCAGAATAAACTGAGAATTTCCTGGCTATTACCAGACAGTGACTTTAGCTCTGAGCTGGTCCCTCTGAAGGGTGGAGAGAATATGGAGTTGCTCATGCTTAACCTGAGAATACTTTCTTTACATATTTCCTCAGGATTCCTTTTAGAACAGAGATTCATCAGGATGAGCATGTGGGCTCCACCAAGGCTCCTGGAACTGGCTGGGCAGAGTCTGTTGAGGAATGAGGCCTTGGCCATTGCTGCTCTGGAGGAGCTTCCCACAGAGCTCTTCCCACCTCTGTTCACGGTGGCCTATGCTGAGCGACGCAGTAAGACTCTGAAGGCAATGGTGCAGTCCTGGCCCTTTGCCTGCCTCCCTCTAGGATCCCTAATGAAGGAGTGGCAGCCTCACCAGGAGAACTTCCAAGCTGCACTCAATGGGCTTGATGTGCTGCTTGCTCAGGAAGTTCGCCCCAGGTGAGGGTAGTCCTGTAGCCTGAAAGGACCCTGGGAGTCAGCAAGACACAGCTGTATTCAAGGAGCATGGAGAGCTAAGATGGTAGGCCAGGGGCTTTTGGTGGTGCTAGTGAGGAAGTTCAGGGAGGCCTGGAGTCTGTTTTTTGGTGTCACTCTGGGAATGGGCTTCTGGATGTAGAAGGCTGATTAATTAAGATGCATTGGTACTCCCTTCAATGTACAATAAGCAGGGCTCAAGAAGGATCTTAGGAGAAGGGATTCCAGAAAAATCCAAAGGAGAAGCAGATTCTCAGTGAAAAAAGAGCAGCTTTGTTTCTTTCCAAGGTTGTATGATTTCTGCTCTTTATTCTGAGTTGATTACCTATTTTCCTACAGGAGATGGAAACTGCAAGTGCTGGATTTACGTAAGAATGCTCATCGGGACTTCTGGACCATATGGTCTGGAAGCAGAGCTAGTGTGTACTCACTGATGGAGCCAGAGGCCACCCAGCCCATGAAGAAGAAGCGAAGAGTGGACGGTTGCAGAATGAGGGGGAAGCAGCCTTTGGCTCCTGTAGAAGTGCTTATAGACCTGTGCCTCAAGGAAGGCAGCCGTGATAAATTGCTTGCTTCCCTCATTGAGAAGGTCAAGCAAAAGAAAGGTTTACTACACCTGTGCTGTAAGAAATTGAAGATTTTTTCAGTGCCCATGCAGAATATTAAGATGATCCTGAAAATGGTGCAGCTGGACTCTGTCCAGGATTTGGAAGTGAATTGTACCTGGAAATTGTCCACCTTAGGGAAGTTTGCTCCTCATCTAGGCCAGATGGGTAATCTGCGCAGGCTCCTCCTGTCCCACATCCACATGTCTTCTTACACTTCCTTGGAGCAGGAGGAGCATTGCGTTAGTCAGTTCACCTCTCAGTTCCTCAGTCTGCATCACCTCCAGGAGCTGTATTTGGACTCTATCTCCTTCCTCAAAGGCCGTCTGAACCAAGTGCTCAGGTGAGGGATAGTAAGATTGCTCTGTAGACCAGAGCAAGCCCTTCTTCATTTTGGTAACAGCAATGGACATCTGCTGTGTATATGCCACAAATAATGCAAGAGTGAACAGGTCACTAGAAGACACCATATTGTCTTATTTCCAAGTATGGTATCACACAACTACCCCAATAAAGGTTAGAGGTTATCTTAGTCTATTTTCTGTTGCTAATAATAATACAGTAGCACAGCCTGTGCTGGGGTTGTGGCTCAGCAATAGAATGCTCACCTAGCATGTGCGAGGCCCTGGGTTCGATCCTCAATACCACATACAAATGAAAAAAAATAAAGGTATTGTGACCAACTACAACTGAAAAATATTTTTAAAAATAATACAACACCACAGACTGAGTTCATTATAAAAAAGTTTATTTTAGCTCAACAGTTTAGTCCAAGTTTGAAGAGCCACATCCAGTGATGGCCTTCTTGCTGGCAGAGCTCCTGAATAGTGTAGGCATTATGGTGAGAGACAAGGAGTACTCATGAGACCTCACCAAACCAGCTTTTATAGCAGACTTACTGTTCAGATAACCCATTACCTATCAGTCACATGATTTTAAAGGTCCCACCTCTTAATATCTTATAATGGGAGTTATATTTCAACATCAGTTTTGGAAAGAAAGCAATTTCAGTTATAAAGTTGATTAGATGCAATTAACAGTGACATATTGCTGCTAGACCACTATTTAATGGATTTATGTCTGGAGAGGGTAGCTTTGGGAAATGATGTCTAAGATAACTAAAAATAGCTAAGTGAGGGGGGCATTAAAGAAGGGAAAGCCCATCAAACCTTAGATTTCAGATTATAGACTGCACTCAACAGCTTTATCAGCATGAACCTCTTTCTCCAAACTTGTCTCAAATATCCTGTCTGTAAAGGGTTGTTTGGATCTCCAATAAGGGAATGTGTGGGAAATAACATGTTTGTTATCCTCATTGTCTGATATCCACTATCACTATTCCCCAGCACTAATTATTCTGTTTTTCCCTAGGTCCCTGAAGAGTCCCTTGGAGACATTATCAATCACTAACTGCCTGCTTTCAGAGTCAGATTTGACACATCTGTCCCAATGCCCCAACATCAGTCAGCTGAAGGATCTGGATTTGAGTGGGGTCAATCTGACCTGTGTAAGTTTTGAGCCCCTCCAAGTTCTATTAGAGAGAACCTCCACCACTCTCCAGGATCTGGACTTAGATGAATGTGGGATCATGGACTCCCAGTTCACTGCTATCCTGCCTGCCTTGAGCCACTGCTCCCAGCTCACAACCTTCAGCTTCTGTGGGAATCCCATCTCCATGGCTATGTTAGAGAACCTCCTGCTCCACACCATTGGGCTGAGCAAGCTAAGTCATGTAATGTATCCTGCCCCACTGGAGAGTTATGAAGATGTTGAGGGTACCCTCCACCTGGGGAGACTTGCCTACCTGCATGCCAAGCTGAAGCAAATGCTGCGCGATTTGGGGCGGCCAGGCATGGTCTGGTTCAGTGCCAACCCCTGTCCTCACTGTGGTGACAGGACCTTCTATGACCCAGAACCCATTCTGTGTCCCTGTTACATGCCTGCTTAGATGAATGCATATATCCACAGCTTTATTTTGGGCACTTGGACACAAAAGCTCAGAAAGTAAGCACATTTAGAAAAAAAGCCAGTTTTGTTTTCAGTTAAGTGGGAAAAAGGTGATGGGAGTGGGGGCAGATGTTTACTTAGAGTTTTTTGTATCTTTGGTGAGATGCATCTTATAAAGTTAGAAGTATGGATCTGAATTTCTAGAAGAGTTTGATTCAGGCTTGAGAGATACATGTGGGAGTTATCCCTGCATGGATAACTGTAAAGAAATGGCCAGAAATAAAGAACCTCAATGCAAACCATTTGGTATACTGTGTGATATTTGAACCTGCTTTCCCTGTGGAGACCTCAAGAACAATCCAGCTACTGATGAAATGAGAAGGCACTAAGCATCCAAGATGCTTACCACACCTGGCTGAATGTTAAACCCCAAGGTCTCATGGCACCATTTATCATTCCTTCCATTTGGTTCTCTCTGGGGTGTATTTTTCCTACTTATTTCTGTGGCTATTTTAGTGAGTGTGTCAGTACACACAAGTTGCATCCTGAGGGCCTAAAACAATGTACAGTAGTGAGTACCACTGGAATAAAGTGTTATTTACATGAGCTGTCACTGCTAACTCCACTGAGATCTTGTACTGTAACTTTTCACTGTTCTCTAGAGGATCCATAAGCCTCAGTCTGACCTTTTGCTGTATACAGGGATTAAATATACACAAGTTAGGCCCTCAATACTGAAAGGGAATGTCTATCCTTCATATGAACTGGAGCTGCCCCTTGAATTTAATTAGTGGCCGGTTAAAAATGTAAATTCACTTTAATAAAATACTTATATTTAATATGTGTATCCATATTAAAAATTTATGACATTCAAGAGGCTGGAGCTGTGGCTTAGTGGTAGAGCGTTTGCCTGTCATGTGTGAGGCCCTGGGTTCAATGCTCATTACCACATATAAATAATTTAAAAGATCCATTGACAACAAAATTAAAAAAAAAAAAAAAAGAATCCATGAGTCTTTATTGTTACTCCAAAACACAGAGCAGTAGGGAAAGCTCTTATTCATTGAAGAATATCAGCTACAGAAAAATAGTATTAGGAAATCACCATTTTACAGTTACTGATGCAGTAATTGATTTAAAAAAGGTCATAAATAGATGTTAACACCTTTGAGAATGATCAAACTCAAATGATTTCAATATATCCCACACATTCTTATTACTTACCAAAGGGAAGCGGTTTCTTTGTTTCTGCAAAATTTGGCAGACTTCAATTTAACCAAAGAATCAAGTTTTTTTTTTTTTTCACATCTTCATATATGTATTTTGTATAATGATGAGAGTCTCCTTTCACTATTCATGCTATTCCCCTTCTCCCTCCCTTTCCCTCCTACCCCTATTCCCTATCTAGAGGTAATCTTCCTCCCTTGCTCTCCCTCCCAACCCCATTTTGAGCCACCCCTCTTATATCAGAGAAGACATTCGGCATTTGTTATTTTGGGATTGGCTAATTTCACTTAGCATAATCTGCTCTAATGCCATCCATTTCCCTGCAAATACCATGATATGTTTTTATTGCTGAGTAATATTCCATTATGTATAAATACCACATTTTTTTTTATCCGTTCATCCACTGAAGGACATCTAGGTTGGCTCCACAGTTTAGCTATTGTGAATTGTGCTGCTATAAACATTGATGTGGCTGTGTCCCTGCAATATGCTGTTTTTAGGTCCTTTGGGTATAGTCCAAGAAGAGGAATATCTGGGTCAAATGGTGGTTCCATTCCCAGTTTTCCAAGGAATCTCCATACTGCTTTCCAATTTGGCTGCACCAATTTGCAGTCCCACCAGCAGTGTATGAGTGTACCTTTTTCCCCCACATCCTCTCCAGCACTTGTTTGTTTTCATAATGGCTGCCACTCTTACTGGAGTGAGATGGTATCTTAGAGTAGTTTTAATTTGCATTTCTCTGATTGCTAGAAATGATGAGCATTTTTTTGTATTTTTACAATAAAATATTTTTTTAAAAAATTATGATAGCAGGGCTGGAGATTTGGCTCAATTGGTAGAGTGCTTGCCTTGTATGCACAAGGCCCTGGGTTCAATCCCCAGTACTATATATATATATATATATATATATATATATATATATATATATATATATATGACATCTTTAGGTGTTCCTATCAATGACAGAATGACTTTCCACCACATGATTCTATCTTTTCTTAAGGAGGTAATAAACCTCCTTGGAACTAGTGAGATACTTTGGATCTGGGGTCTCAGTAGTGTAAAGAAGCCCATGCTAGGTCCTGAGGAGCAGTGAGGTGGAAGCAGGTAAATGGGAGACATGGCAGTTGGGAGTAGGTTGGGCCACTCCACAGGACAATCCAAAAGTAAAGGACTGTGGGGTTGGACACTATAATAATTGGGCATTTGTTTGGCTGACTGCCCAGGGAGCAAGAGGACTGCCTGCCTCCCAGCCACTGTCCCCACCACACCACTGCATTCTGCCCCTGGACTTTGTGACATAAGCCTCCCAGGTAAGCACTTGGGGAGGAGGCCACACACCAAGAAAAAGGGCTAGGGTTCCCTTTGCATATTGCCCTGAGTATGAGCAAGCCCAATACTGTTTATTCTTCAGAAGCCTTGCTTGACCCTCAGGTGCATGCTGCTGTCATTACTGACAATCTTGTTACACAGCAGCTGGCCCTTCTTCATTCTCTTCCCATAGCAGTTACTCTTCCTTTCTTCTGTTATCCCTTCCAGCCTCCTATTCTAAATCCCATAAGAAAGAAATGGGCCCATCAGCTTGTGGAGCATACTTGGCCATGTTCTAGAGAAAACATAACCAATGGTATATCTTAAGAAGGGCTAAGAAAAGGTGCTTTCTTCTTGCTTTTCCTCAGATATACCCTGCCTCAGCATCACTTGCCATAGACCCAAGTTACAGGAAATATTTCCCAGAATGGGAAACCTACATCCAAGTACCAAATGGGTATGAAGAGCAAAGGATGAAGAGCAAAGGAAAGGCATTGAATTACTCCAGCTTTGGGATCATTTACTGAAAGAGCTGGTAATATCTGCATCCTATGATTACCATGATATCCTTTGGGGCTAATTTATGCAAAGCATGTGTCAGAGCACTCAGACATCATGGATGACCCAACACAGGCCATTGATTATTAGCTTCCTGATGCAAGTAGAGAAAGAAAAACAGATGCTGTGTGTCTTTGCTCATTCTTACTGTTATAATGAAATGCTGAAGACTGAGCCATTTATAAACAATGGAAATTTATTTCTCAAAATTTTGAAGGCTGAGAAGTCTAAGATCAAGGCATTGGTAGATTTGGTGTCTTGCAAGGGCATTCTCTCTGCTTCAAAGACAGTATCTTGTTGCTGCATCTTCTGGAGAAGATAAACACTGTCCTCACAGTGGAAGAGCAGAAGGGTGGAAGGGCCTAGGGTGCTTCCCTCAATTTCTTTTATAAAAAGCACTAATCCCATAAGAGCAGCATACTCATGACTTAATCCCTTCTTCTCAGATCCAACTCATTGTATTCAGATAACTCATTGTATTAGCCAGGCAGGGTGGTGCACACCTGTAATACCAGCAACTTGCAAGACCCTGTATCAAAATAAAAAGGCCTGGGGATGTAGCTCAGTAGTGAAGTGCCTTTGGGTTTGATTTTTCAGTATCAAAACAAAAACAAAAAACAAAATCTCATTGTATTGATGTTTCTTGGAATATTTTATTGCCAAAGTCTAAATTCTAAATAATGTCACCAGATTCAATCCTCAAATGAGGTCTCCAGACAAAAGTCCCTACTATAGTAAATCCTGTTTTAAAAGAACTTTTAACACCATCACATTGGGTATGGATAGCAATGTATCAATTTTGAAAGAACACATATATTCAAATCATAGCACTGCATCTTCTTTTTTATTTATTTTTTAGAAGTAGTTGGACGCAATATCTTTATTTTGCTTACTTATTTTTATGTGATGCTGAGAATCAAACCCAGGGCCTCGTACATGCTAGACAATTGCTCTACCACTGAGCCACAATCCCAGCCCCAGCACTGTATCTTCTAAAACAGGATTTACTACAGTAGGGACTTTTGTCTGGAGACCTCATTTGAGGATTGACTCTGGTGACATTATTTAGAATTTAGACTTTGGCAATAAAATATTCCAAGAAACACCAATACAATGAGATTTTGTTTTTTGTTTTTGTTTTGATACTGAAAAATCAAACCAGAGGCACTTCACTACTGAGCTACAACCCAGCCCTTTTTATTTTGATACAGATTCTTGCAAGTTGCTGGTATTACAGGTGTGCACCACCCTGCCTGGCTAATACAATGAGTTATTGAAAAGTCGATTTTGGCTAAAGAGAGACCTTGTCAGTAAGGACAGCCATGCAAAGGGGATGGTAGGTGGTAGCTATCCATAGCAGAAGGACTTGTATATATGAAGGCTTTGTGGGAAGGGGAATCTCCAGATTATTAGGAAGCAAGCAGAGGCAGTATGGCATACACAGTAGGTTGCTTGGTATTAACAATTCACCCTGGCGATGCGTGATCTGTTTAGCAGACAGGCAGGTTGGACTTAACCATAGTTAAGGATACACAAATTACAGGGATGGATCTAAATAGAAATGAGACAGTGGGGTTTAATGCACACTCAGGGACCTGTGTGGAGATGATGAGAAAAAAGGCCTAATGTCTAAACCGAAATAAAAGGTCAAATATCCTTAGGGAAAGGAGTCAGGGAGACCTCAACAATTTTCAAATGCCAGAAAGGACTGCTAAATTAACCCAACATTCAAATTATTTTGAGGAAACCAAATTAATCATCAACTTCTTCTATTACTATTACTGCTACTGAGGGCACATTGTCCTAGTGAGATAGCCCAGATTCTTTATCTGACATGAAGTTGTTAGAGGCAAATTTTCATCATCTGTCCAATTTTATATCTAATTGACAATCTTGTGTCTTGAA